TTGTAACCGCCAACACCTTGAGTGAGGCCACCAACCGGCCTCTGCGCTTGGAGGCAGCTAAGTCAATAGTGACGGGCTCAGATACCGATGGCTTGAACGTCTTGCGCTTCACTACACCTGCGGACTTGCAAACCTTTTTCTTTACTTCAGTCTGACTTGGGAGATAGACCAGATATCACGGCATAAATAGTTTCGGACATGATTGTAGATCTGGGGAGCATGTACAATTTTATGTCCTACTAAGACTGAAGGAGAAAAATGCTGGGAACAGATAGGGCAAAGCAGAAAAGTTGAGCGTTTCACACTTTTTTATCCCATCAAAATTAACAAATGACTTCATGTAGCAAATTCAACTAGGACATAAATTAATAAACGTCAATAAAAATTAAAATCAGTTCAAATGGTTGGGATGACACTGAGATATGAGCTAAATATGAATCACATTTACTCTGAGTGTGTATTCACTTTTTCTGGAGCTGACGTATTTCTAATCTTAAAATGGCTTTGACCTACCATATTTGATTTTCCCGAGCACCAACAAAGAAGAAGTGACTTCTAGCCTTCCAACTGCAGGAATTATCTAAGGTACTATGTTATTTGCCTTCATGGGTTCTTTAGTTAGTTTCATGCAAGTAACTGAAGTCTCTCCTTTTCAGGCCTGTCCTCTTGCTTAAGTATCAAACTTGCATTTCAGAGTGATTATTGGATATCTGCTCGTTCATCTTCTATACCAGACTCTCAGTAGAACCATGCTCATCTAAGTAGCTTCTGTCTAAGATTGCAGAATATTGGCTTGATCGTTCACCTGTATCACACCCTGAACATATCCAACCACATAAAGGAAGCAACCTTGCAAGTGACATCCCTATGCATTCTATTCATAACACTATTCTTTTGTTAACCAACACTTCAATTATTCACTTTCTTTGGTTGCCAAATCCAATCTGTTACTAATTCTTCCTAAATCCATCTTTCCTTCTTTATTTTCCTTTTCATGGTTGTAATCTTACTCTTCTATTTCTTCTTTGGACTGGCTATTTTTATAGCCTTCATATGGGCCATTTTCTTCTCTCATCTCTCTGTGCTATTATTCATCCTCTTCATTGCTCTGGGTGAAATATTCTTCATATGAGCTTCAAATTTACATGCCCCATCTCCTCGTAGCTTTATGTTTTTGTTTTGTTTTGTTTTGTTTTGTTTTCACTTAAAAACTTTTTGTCTATTCTTACAAGCCATGAAGAAAAAGCTGGATTTATACAGCTTTAGAATTTAAGAATAACCTTAGCATGGCAATCAAACTCTTTGATATGGTCTTTAAATCAACGATCTGGCAGTGTGGTTTAGTGGAAGCATGAAATTGCAAACATTATGACGTTTATTTGAGTCATGTTTTGCCCTTAGGAGACACGTGATCTTGGTCTAATTATATTACCTTTCAGAGTATCTTTTATTCATCTTATTCTTCGTTTTTCTCACTCCCCAACCCGGTTTTAAACTTCAAACTAATCTAATGACATACTATCAAATGTTTTTATTTTTCATTTCCCATATCTCAAAGTGGATGAGATTTTTCTGTGCTTTGACTTCCTATATCAATTTCTTTCCTTTCCTTTCTTCCTTCCTTTTTTTTTTTTTTCTTTTTTCTTTTTTTTAAATACTTATTCTTGCTCTATTGCCCAGGCTGGAGTGCAGTGGATGGATCTCCGCTCACTGCAACCTCTGCCTTCCAGGTTCAGGGATTCTTCTGCCTCAGCCTACCAAGTAACTGGGATTACAGGCAAGCGCTACCACACCCAGCTAATTTTTGTTATATTTAGTAGAAACTAGAGATGGGGTTTTACCATCTTGGCAAGGTTGGTCTTGAACTCCTTACCTCGTGATCTGCCTGCCTCGGCCTCCCAATGTGCTGGGATTACAGGCGTGAGCCACCACGCCCGGCCCTACATGGGTTTTTTCAAAGTCCATGATAATATGTTTCATATTATCTGTATACTTATCCACTTTCAAATCTTCCTAGTAGCTTACAAATAACTAGAAAGTATAGATTGATATTGTAGGTATGGCATACACATATTTATGTAAAAAAACTTGCAGAAATACATACAGGGAGTTGTGTGTAAGCACAACAGAAATCAAGTGTCCTTAACCCTCCATTTCTTTATTTTGCCTTTAGGGTCACTGACCAAATGCTTGTTTTCTGCAGCAGTATGTTTTATGCAATACTGTTGACATGGAGTTTCATTTTAAATTGAATGACTGGGTAAGGCCTTATACACCACTGAAGATATAGAGCAATTACGAAATAGGTAACTTGTTCAAGTTTTTACTGTTTAGCTCTAAGTGGCTCATACATACTATGCATCTCCTAAGAAGGATTTTAATACTAATTTTGATCTAGACAGAGAATTCCTATTTAGCCACCATATTCCTAATTAGGATAAAACAAAGAAATGAAATCACTATGGGGCTTTTTGTTCTTTACACATGTTGTAGAAATAAAACAATTCTAGAAGCAAAATGACCTTTCTATATGAATATAAAAGAAAGAAAAAAGGGTAAGGTATGGTGGCTCTCACCTGTAAACTCAGAACTCTAGGAAGTTGAAGTATGTGGATCACTTAAGGTCAGGAGTTCAAGAGTAGCTTGGCCAACATGGTAAAACTCAATCTCTACAAAAAATACAGAAAGTAGCCGGGCATGGTAGCCCTTGTAATCCCAGCTACTTGGGAGGCTGAGGCAAAAGAATTGTTTGAATCTGGAAATAGGAGGTCGCAGCCAGTAGAGGAAACGCCACAGCACTCCAGGCTGGACGTTAGAGTGAGACTCCTTCTCTAAATAAATAAATAAATACATAATTAAATAAATAAAACACAATGTATTATTGAATAAACACTAAAAGATGTACTCACATGTAAATGTTTCCAAAGTGAGTACAAAATTAGGTAGGACAAACTCTCACACACACAACATAACAGAGGAAAGAGCAATAACTTATTTTGTTTTCTCAAGAGACAGGGGCTATATCTCATGACAACCTCCTGTATATCTTGTGAGACTTCTACATCAATTTCAGAAGTATATTTAATCCCATATAAAGATTATCTGACCCTTGACCTGGGCCAGGCTGGTCTCAAACTCCTGACCTCAAGTGATCCACCCACCTCCAACTAAAAATGCTGGGATTACAGGAGTGAACCACTGCGATCCACCCAGAACAGTAGTTTTAAATGCATTAAATAATATATAGGATTATAAAGTGAAACAATTATAGTAATATGCCATTATCAAATTATAAAAAATCTGATTCGGTAAAATAATAACATGTACTCTTAAAAGTTTTAATTTTATTTGCTTATTGATTTTTGAGACAGAGTCTCACTCTGTTGGCCAGGTTCAAATGCATTTGTGGTATCTTGGGTTAATGCAGCCTCTGCTTCCCAGGTTCAAGCAATTAGCCACCTGAATAGCTGGTATTACATGCCTGCAACACCATGCCTGACAAATTTTTGTCTTTATAGTGGAGACAGAGTTTCGCCATGTTGGCTAGGGTGGTGTCAAACTCTTGGCCTCAAGTGATCCTCACATCTGGACCTTTAAAAGAGCTAAGATTTACAGGCAGAAGCCACAACCAGCCATGTGTGCTTTTTAAATGAATACATTAAATAATAATCTACCCAGACGAAAGACTTAATATAGTTTAGGAGGATTGAGATTTTTAAATGACACTTTTGAGATACTGGCAATGGCAATGTGATACTAATAAAAGCACTTTTCTGCCACTTCTGCCTATTATACTGTTTGTTTTCTGATTTCATAAATAGAGAAATGCTAAGTCTCCTTTGAAGAATGGTTAAAAAAAATTATTTTTTAAAAACTAATTCCCAGATCCCCTGAAGTCTGTCTATGCATCCCAAGTTTAGAACCTTACTCTGCAATTTGTTCCAAAGTACCATGAACTAATTGAACAGCTGTGACAAACTTGGTTCTCTTTACAAGTCATGAAGGAACCGATAAATATTCCACTCAATGCACCTGGACCTTTTTATGGGGATTAATTATGAGTTAAGTCTTTAATTATTTATTTTGAGGAGTTCCCAAAATTAGATTTTAGCAAATTAGGTTACTCTCCCTCATCCCTTTTGAAGGGTGAACCTTAGGATAGGAATTGAGAGCAACCTCAATTTTGTAATATACCATAATTAATGTTTTGTGATTGCTTATTCAGAATCTAGATGTGATCCTAAGCATTATAATAGGATTATATCTTTTCAACTTACCAAATACTTACAAATTCACCTTTTAAAATACATTTAAAAGAAACTTAGTATAGCTTGCCCAAGTTCACCCCACAGCATGTATGTTAAGCAGGCTGTCTCAATAGTTTCGCTGGATTCTATGATGCCAATTTGCTGCCATAATAGAATGTGGTGAATGATACATACAGCGCTAGCTACAATTTGTCCATGATTAAAGATCTCTAAATGTGTAACTTTCATATACTTTTAGTTCCCTCAGTAGCACTATCTAGCCTGCATGCCAAAGAGCCCTACTTGGTTAACTAGGCATTGATAAATCAATAAAAGCAATCTCAGATAATAAAGGTACGGTTTGCTTAAAATACTTTGAAAGCACCTTGTAAGGGACAACAGTGTGTACTATTTGATATTCTGGGAAAAGTGGGGGACAACTGTCAAGCATCTTTATCAAAAGTTTATGAACTGGTGACTCACTTAATGGCTGCAAGTATAGTGTGCAAATACACACACGTATATACCTAGGAGTGTTTATTAAATCCCAATAAGGCTCTACTGTTGCCTCAGGCCCCTCCTGGTCTCCTCCAATCTCTGAGCAAGGGAGAACTGTGCATAAGGGCGGGAACTGCCTGTGGTTCCCGCCCCTGCTCTTGAGGTTTTCAAACAGGTCCGTCATCCTGTTATAAATACTGCTGAGTGGCTCTGCGAGAGTTATTGTGCTACGAACTTAACAGCCTTTGTCTCGCCATGTCTGGGCGCGGTAAGGGTGGAAAAGGCCTAGGCAAAGGTGGCGCCAAGCGCCATCGCAAGGTATTGCGTGACAACATCCAGGGAATCACCAAGCCCGCCATCCGGCGCTTGGCTCGCCGCGGTGGCGTCAAGCGTATTTCTGGCCTCATTTACGAGGAGACTCGCGGAGTGCTGAAGGTTTTCCTGGAAAATGTTATCCGCGATGCTGTCACCTACACGGAACACGCCAAACGCAAGACGGTCACAGCCATGGACGTGGTCTACGCGCTCAAGCGCCAGGGACGCACTCTGTATGGCTTCGGCGGCTGAGTTTAGCGCGGCAGTTTTCTACCGCAAAACCAACGGCCCTTTTCAGGGCCACCTACCCACTCAGAAGAAAGAGTAGTCACTGCTTGAAAAATTTATAATTATTTTCACCCTTAGTAGCTTCGTATATTAAGTTCAATTGTTTCATTTCTTCTTAGTTTCATATTTTACTGGCGAGTGAGGATGATCCAAGCGTTTTATGTTTTGCTTTTTATTTTCAGACCGTCCAGCTCTGTCGACCTGGCTGGAGTGCAATGCCGCGATCTCGTCACACTGCAGTCTGAGCCTTCCGGGTTCAAACGATTTTTGTTGTTCAGCCACTTGGCGTAGCTGGCTCAACCGGCTTGCGACACGAACGCCGGCTAGTTGTATTTTTTTTGTGGAGATGAGTTTTCAACACATTACCAGGCTGGTCTTGAACTCAAGCTCAGATTTCCTCGCCTTGGCCTCTAAAAGTGCTAGGATTACAGGCGTGAGCCACCGCTCTTTGCCTGTTTTCTCTTAGTGTAAGAAAACGGATGGCAAGCTGCCATTAACATTCTGCATGGCTATCAGAGAAACAAAGTAGCAAAGACGAGCTGAGAAACAAGGTAGCAAAAGCTGTACCACAGAAGGCAAGTAGTAAAGGCTGATGATGCTGTGAAGAACAGCGAAGAAAATGGACGTAGTTACTAGTTCCAACCAAGATATTGTTACAGGAGAGGCCCCTTAATTTTGTCCTGAGACTTTTCACTCTGTTCTTTTATTGGCCATCTGGGTAAATATATCTGATAAAGCCTAAGTATTTAGCGGAGGTCATTAAGCATCAGTATTTATTGGAGATCACCTATAAAGTCTTGAAGAATCATGTTTAATACACATTTTGAGGTTTGGGGAAACCTTGTACAAAAGAATGCTTACTTGAAGTGTAGAATATCTTTGGTTAATTATCTACTTTGTGCTTCTGTTTCTTCATAACAGTGCTACTACTTAGCTTACAGATTTTGGGGTGAAGAAAGAAAATGTTTGTTAAGCATTTTTGTTTTCTTTCAAAGTCCAGGATTCAGGCTTATGTTAAGCATTCTTACAAGTTCGTAACATGTGGCACTTTATATTTTGGCTATTTTTCTTATTGCTAATACTATTATTACTTCTCATGACACAGAGGCCCAGAGAAAAAGAAGGTGGTATTTGAACCATGAGTCTATACTTGATACTGCACTGCCGTTTCTGTCTTGCGGTCTGTGGCAAGTTACTAATCACTCTTCCTTTATCTGTAATGTGTGGGAAACTATACTTTTGTGAGGGCTGAGTGAGACAATGTATGATAAATAATTTGACAGTTTTGCATATTCAACAAATATGAGCTTACGTGCATTTTTAAAATGTGCTATATAACAAGATGTCTTAGGAAATAGATAATTTTTTCAAAGGTCCAAGTGTATTACATTTTTTTGAACATAAGTATCAAAACTGAATTCCAGATAACAAAACACTGTTTTGAAAGGTCACTGACAACACTTAAAGTACTGCTGAACACTCAGGCCTGTCCCCTTACTTCCCTTTCCACAACTCCTAGGAAAATGAATTTGCTTAATTCAGGTAGGCTGGTTCCTGGATCAATCAAGAGTGATGGCTGAAGAGAAAACTAACAACATAATGTGACTACTTGAGGCTCAGCCCTTAATGGGCTTTCCCAGGAAAAAGAATTATCCTGCATCCAGAAGCTGTCCCGGATGGTCCCTGGGGTGCCCTCCACAACCATATTCCTAGTGATGTCCATTTGCCATATCCAAAACTCAAGTTGTCTGTTCTCATTGTACTATATAACAGACCTGGACACCACTTTCTTTTTTTGTTTGTTTGTTTGTTTGAGATGGAGTTTCTCTCTTGCCCAGGATAGAATGCAGTGGCACAATCTCTGCTTGCTGCAACCTCTGTTTATTGGGTTCAAGCGATTCTACTGCCTCAGCCTCCCCAGCAACTTCCGGATTACAGGACTGCACCACAACGCCCGGCTAACTTTTGTATTTTTGGTAGAGATGTGGTTTCATCATGTTGGCCAGGCTGGTCTCAAACTCCTAACTGACCTCAAGTGATCCGCCTGCCTTGGCTTCCCAAAGTGATGGGATTACAGGTGTCAACCAGCATGCCAGTCTCCACATCTTCTCTGAAACGATTTATTCTCTAGACTTCTGCTGGTTTTATTCCAAACTTACTAGTATTTAGTGTTTTTTTTTGTTTGTTTTCTTTTTTTTTTTTTTTTTTGACTGAGTCTCCGTTTCCCAGGCTGGAGTGCAGTGGTGCTCTATCGGCTCACTGTAACCTACGCCTCCTGGGTTCAGGAGATTCTATTCTGACTCAGCCTCCCAAGTAGGTGGCACTACAGGCCTGCGCCACTATACCTGGCTAATTTTTGTGTTTTTAATAGAGTTGGTCAGGATGGTCTTGAAATACTGACTGCAGGTGATCCTCCCTTCTCAGCCTCCCAAAGTGCTGGAATCACAGGCATGAGCTACCATGCCCAGTGTATTGTCTCTCTTCTTTAACTAGGATATCAGCCTTAGGAGAGCAGTCTCTTTCTTGCTCAATGAAGTATATCAATGCCTGGCAGAGGGAATGCAACCAGTCTCTAATTAAATACTGAATGAAATCCCTTCAACTACTCTCTGATTTATTTTATAAAATGTTGCTTTTTTAGGATTTAAATATAAGAAACGAAGTTACCTTTTCATAGAGCAAAACTACCAAAAATTACTGTGGCCTCTTAGATGCTATCGAGTGATACTTCATAAATACTGAAACCAAAGCTTAATAAAGCCAACAGCCCACACAATGCCTTTTTAAGTTTCAAAACATGTCTATTTCAGCTGCAAGAGTTTGTAGTAACTTCATTATGTCGGTACATAGCTCCGATTGTGAAAAGGTTGAGTGGCTCTGAAAAGAGCCTTTGGGTTTTGTAAACTAACGGAGTCCGCAGGGCTACGTTTACTTGGAGCTGGTGTACTTGGTGACGGCCTTGGTGCCCTCGGACACGGCGTGCTTGGCCAGCTCCCCGGGCAGCAGCAGGCGCACGGCCGTCTGGATCTCCCTGGAGGTGATGGTCGAGCGCTTGTTGTAATGCGCCAGGCGGGAAGCCTCGCCCGCGATGCGCTCGAAGATGTCGTTGACGAAGGAGTTCATGATGCCCATGGCCTTGGAGGAGATGCCGGTGTCGGGGTGGACCTGCTTCAGCACCTTGTACACGTACACGGAGTAGCTCTCCTTGCGGCTGCGCTTGCGCTTCTTGCCGTCCTTCTTCTGCGCCTTGGTCACCGCCTTCTTGGAGCCCTTCTTCGGGGCGGGAGCGGACTTCGCTGGCTCAGGCATGTTAATGTCGCCGTTCTGCGGCTAGGAACCAAAATGAATTCTACAGCTCATGATCCTTGTTATTTGTAGTCAACATTATGTAAATGAAGATTTCGTTTCTCCAGCTCTGATTCGTTCTTTAGTCGTGAAGTCTGCATGCAAATGAAGGAGCCTAGGTCTACTCTCCCATTGGTCACACCCTGAGCACACTTTTCGAGCAAGGGACACCTAATTAGCATTTTATATAACAAGTTCCTCTTATTGCAAAGAATTCAGATTAGTTTACTATTCACTTTAAAAACTAGAAGTTGCTATCCTTTATGCTTTTAAATCCCAGGGAGGCAAAGCTCGTGGCGCAGTTACCTCTCTGAAATGTAAGGCCCCTTTAAAAGCTCCTGGAAAAGTGATGCGTGACTCGAGCTGCAGGGGAGACCGGAAGAAAAGCCAGCCAGGCGACCGGCACTCACCCACACAATCCCGAGAAGAGTGTTCCTTTTTTACACAGTGCCCAAACACATCTTGAAAAGAAAGAACAGGCAATAGAGCTCCAGAAAAGAGCAATAACAAAAAAGCCAATGGCATCTCTTGAAGAGAGCTTGAAGAAATAATGGCATGCTTGAAGAAGAGGGGAAAGAATGTCGTAGCCAATAGGTCCACAGTCCTTAATGGAAAAGCGAGTCACACCAAGTTTAGCCTTACAGCAAGGTTCAGAAATAAATATTCAGTCTAGTGAAAAAATTTAAAAAATAATAAAAAAAAGAGCGAGCCTGTTATTTAACAAAGAGCCCTAATTTCTATTTATTATCTTTGGCTAAAGCCTGCTGCCTAGCTAACTGTTCACTTTAAACAACTGTCCCGCCTAAATTTGACTGTTCTTCTTAAGCCCTCCCTCCTTCACCCCTCGCTCCCCAACCCCCATCCCCTCTCCACTCTTGCGACCATTCCCACTTCCAGGGCCCTGTCTCCAGGCAGGAAGGTGCTGCACAAAAAAATATTGCAGTCTTATCTTTGTTTCACAAAATAATTTTTTTCTGACTTCCTTGATGAGAAAATCTTAAGACCTGTTTAAGAATTTTAAAAAAATTTCAATTTAGCTAATGTAGCAGTGTTCATAGAAATAGCTAATGTGCTCCCTTTATATTTATTTAATCCTAAAAATCTTGGGCCAGGTGTAATGGCACACGCCAGAAATCCCAGCACTTTGGGAGGCTGAGGTGGGTGGATCACGTGAAGTCAGGAGTTCGAGACCAGCCTGATCAACATGGTTAAACTCGTCTATTAAATATAAAAAATTAGTTTGGTGTTGTGTGCATGCCTGTAATCCCAGCTACTTGGGAGGCTGAGACAGAAGAATGTTTTGAACCCACAACGCAGAGGTTGCAGTGAGAAGAGATTGTGCCATTGCACTCCACTCCAGCCTGGGCAAAACTCTGACCAAAAAAAAATAATAATAATAAAGAAGGGCCTGGCATGGTGTCTCATGGCTGTGATCCAAGCACTTTGGAGGCCAAGGTGGGCAGATCGCCTGAGGTCGGGAACTCAAGACCAGCGTGACAAACATGGTGAAACCCCGTATTAAACAAGAAAAAGAAAAAAAAAAAACCCTTATGTCATGAATATTACTTTTTTTGCATCTAACAGAAAGGGAAATTAGAGC